CTTAATTTGGTAAGCAAACTTGAGGAAGTCGAATGCAATGAACTGGAGGATGCCTGAATTGATGCGTTTGTAAATGGAAGAAATTGAGGGTCCGAAAAAGTAAGACGAAGCCTATTCAGCATGGACCTCCAATCCGAAAGGAACCTAGAAAGAATCTTTTTAGATTCTGGGGTAGTTGAAGAGACAGTTTTTTCAATGCCCAGGATTGGAATCCCACCTCCTCCTAGTTTTTCTACTAAGGAAGAAAGAAAAGGGAAAAATGGAAACAACGAAATAATGGAGGAGGGAGGGATACACAGTTCTTTGAACCAGTGCATGGCTTCTGGATATGCATTTGTTTTAAATAAATGGTACGCATTTTCTAATCGAGTGGCATGAAGGAATTGTCTTTTATCGTCTCTAGATAAATCACTTGCTTCAATCAAATCTACACAAGCATCGTATTGATGATGTTCTTTTAATTTGGAAATGATGTGTTCCAAAGGGAGTAAAGCAAATCTTTTAAGTAAACTATCTTCGACAATATACACGAAAAAATTCGTCGCACACCATTTGATTGGAGTATGAAACTGTAGAACTTGAACTAACTGTTCATTGAGCTTCACCTGGATAGTTTTCGATCCTTGAAGTAATCCAAAATTAAATGGATGTAAACACATCAAATCTTCAAGAACCACCGTCCAGTCGGATTTTGCTTGTACATCATCTTCGATTTTTATTAAGAGTTGATTGTTAAAGGCCATAAGACCTTGTGACATAATTTTCACACCCACTTTACCGCTTGAGCGAAGTGAAAACGAAGTGATGTTCCATGAATGCAATAGAGTGGTCTCCATTGAATCTATATTTAACAATTGAATTTCTTTCGAAGAAGCAATCGCAATGATGGGAGACTGAGGGTGGAAACTAATAGACCGACATGTAAAAGGTAAAGTGTATTCTCTCTAGAGCAAAAGGAGAGCCACATGTTGATCAGCCAAAACATCGAAATACCTATGTTTTATTTCATTTATTTTTAAAAGGAGCCCAAAACAAAAATAATAATAATACATAGATAATTTGGATTTCAAGTTTCGAAGATCTTCTTTGTTTTTTTTAATTTCTTCGTTCTTGGTTTTCAGTCTCTAGATATACACGATGTAGGGAAAGAAAGAGCCAGTCAAAAGTTTAGAGACTTCGAATACAATCCTTCATACTTCGGCTCGTTTTTCAATTTTTTTTTTCTCGAATTTTCTATTCCTTCTGGAGTTCTTGTAACTCAGGGAAATGTTGAGGATAAATTTAAGATGAAAAATGTACTAAACTGAGAGCTGGTACGAAAAGAAAGTACATACCAGATTGAAATTTTCATTCTGGACATTGTAGGCTTCATGAATGAACGCCATTTGATTACGAAGTAATTCTTCTACTTGATTTTTCAATTCCGTTTCGATAGGGAGAGTAGATAAACAGGTGAAGATGACTTTATGACTTGCATCTATTTGGAAATGGACGAGATCTGAAGCTGATCCGTCGTGAAGTGAAGGGCGTTTCTTTTGGTTGGTATTCAAATCAGACGATCGTGGGGTCACACTGGGTTTAGTGGATGAAGAAGAAATCAAATTGGAAGCACTTTGGGCTCGTGTTGCTATTACTTTCGTCTTTAGAAAATCATGAGAGAGCTCTGAAAATGAATAGATACCGTCCTGACGATGGTCTTGGTTCAATGAGAAATCTTTCTTTTTTTTCGCTCCATTTTCTAGTATAAAGAACCAAAGAGAGAAAAAGGGGAGAAGAAGTAGGGAAAGAACCCGAAAAGGAAGTTAGTAATGAAGAAGAAAGTTCATGGTTTTCTTAAAATTTAGTTTCAAACATTTTCAAAGAGAAGCTGATAAAAGGCTAAAAATAAATATATGTATAAACTAATCTCTTTTCGCGATAAAAAATTTGAAACTTACTCTCTAATTCTTTCAATTCCTCCGAACTCATTGCTCTAGAAGTTTTTGATTTATGATGCTTTATATTGGACAATGGGACAAAATTTATGGGAATGATAGTAGAATCCTCAAGATTTTCGTCTTTTGATTTATTTTTTCTGTTGTGGGACCTAGGTTTCTTGATTGAAGTTGTTTTTTTCATTGAGGGGCCGTCAATGGGTTTCTTTTCATCTTTATTTATCTAAAAATAATAAGGAAAGTAGTATTCAGTAGATGGAATTTCAATTTAAAATAAACGAATTAATAAATAGTGACCCTAAAATTTGTTTATCAAAATGAAATTTACCTCTTCACGCTGTGTCTTGACTATTGAAGGGGGAGAATTTGATGTATAAATAGATGAATCCTTTATCTCAGGATGATCGATGAGATCTGTTTTAGCGTTCTGGTTTTCAATGGACATTGAATTAAATGCATGGTTTAGACCTTGATTCGAGATCGAATTTTTTTCAATCTTTGATATGAGATCAATTCCTTCGGGAGCCGTATCATTTAGTTTCGATTGAGTTGATGAACTTTCCACGGTTCCTGAATTTTCAGAGAACGGCAAAAAAACCTTGGCTTAAGTAGAAAGAAATAGAAAGAAAGAAAAAATCCAGTAAAGTTTAATTTTTCAAAAGTTCCATTGAATTTATAGCCAACAAATTTCATTTGATACAAAAAAAAAGGAAGTTAGAGATAGGTAGGCGAGTTAGTTAATATAATAGTTAAACATGTATGTACATGCTTGATTTGCAGTATTGATCAATGGAGTATTAAAAAAATAATAAATAAAGTAGTTATTTGATAATTGAAATGACCTTGACATACTTGGTTTAGGATTTGTTTGCGAATATGAAAACCTTGTAATTTTTGTGGCTTGACCTGGGGTATAAGAATAGCGTTCATATCTGAGCGGTGGAGATGGCTCCATGAAACCTGGTTCTAAAGTCGGCGTGGAAAAAGAGCTGGATTCGACGTTACTTGGATCATTTAAATTGTTAAAATCGTGTACAGCCTCGTTTATTGTAAAGCTGCGCGTTGACTCTTGCTTCAGTCCTAGAGTTGAGCATTAAATTTAAAAAAAAAAAAAAAAAAAAGGGGAATCCAATAAGAAAAATTTCATTAAAATTAGCTGATGTTTAGTTTCGCGCTTAAGATAAACTTGCTAAAAATGTTTTACATTACCGTTTACATCGATAGTTTCAGTCGGCATTCTTAGTGGTTACCTTTTTCCATGTAACATGGAATTCAAAAGAGAGAAAAAAATTAGAAAAATTCTAAAAACGTTGTTAGTCCTATCTCCTTTAAAAATTATTTAAAAACAATTGGGAAATATAATTTGAAGTAAAAATTTGTACTTCTATTTTAACAAGACACGAAAAGGATATTTATAATTTAAAAAAATTGAAAAAATCATATGCCTAAAAGTAAGAAAAAGGATGGATTCTCTCAAAGGATGTGATTGACACGAACTTACTATTTTTAACTTCTAACTAAAGTTTTAAATGTATATATAAAAGATCTTGAATTTTTTTCAACTTCTCAAAGGAATAAAATTTTTTACATGGATAAATTGAATACGACACACATTTAAAAAATGAATTCAAATTAGAAAAGTAGGGTGAAGAAAATCTTTAAGGTTCAGGGTTTTCTTTAAGTTTTAGGGTAAATTTTTTTTTACCTCAATTTAAAAAATAGTTACAATAATAATAATCGAAATCTAAGCATCATTCGTATTTGAATTTTTAGAGTCTCATAATTTTTAGTTCAATAAAAATAAGAAATAACCCCCCTCCCCCCCCCCCCCCAAAAAAAAAAAAAAAAAAAAAAAAGACGTCGAGAGAAATGGAAATTTTCCTTTCTTTAGAAAGCTATTTCACTCCTTCCTTCATTTTTTTTTCTTTTAGGATAAATATAAAATTTAAAATTTAAGAAGAAAAATGAAATTGACTTTCTAAAAAAAAAAAAAAAAAAAATGCTTTCACGATAATATTGGAATCTTTTTTTCTACCTTTTTAAGCACCGTGAAAGGCGGATTAAATTTATAGAGAATTAATTTTCGATGCATTCCGATGGCCATGGCATGAGCATTTTCAGTGGACAAAAAAGTGAAATCACTGGACAGTGGTGATTTTACATCCTTTAGTGCCTGAATCAGTTGAAGAGAATGAGCATCATGAACGAAAGCAGTGTTATCTAGAAATAATATTGGCCATTAACTCCATGCATACAGTTTATACATCAATTCCACTTATACATAAAAAGATCGATAGGAGTGAAAGGAAAAAAAACAATGAAATAAAGATAGATATATACCTGTGAAGGTCAATAACAAATTAGAATTAGAAGAAAGGTACAATGTATCTATTGATTTTTTTGAAAATTGAGGCTTTGAAAGAATTAATTTACAGAGGGAATGTGTAGAGGAAGGGCTTTCAATGGGGGTAGATGGAGTAGAGTTTGGAATAAGAAGAGAGGAAGGTGAAGAATTTTCAATGAAAGAAGAGGTAATTTTGTAAACGGTTAAAGATCCTGTAGAGTAACCAAGATAGAGTTCCGAATCAGAAACAGAAATGGTAAAACAAGAGATATTGGAAGAGGAAGGAATAGAAGTGAACAACAGTTCTTCTTGAACTACGTCGTACATTTTTTGTTTTGTTTCTGTTGCTGGGTTATATCTATTTCTGAGAATGAAAGAAGAAGAGTAAAATTAATGACTGTTAATTAATTATAAATTAAATTTTTATTTAGTTTTATAAACAAATAAAAAAAACAAAAGAAGAAGATAGGTAAAATCATCCCCAATCACGCTCACAACTTTTAGTAATTTCCCATGCTACACATCAAAAACTATCAACATCCAAAGCAGGGAAAAAAAAAAAAAAAAAAAAAAAAAACCAATTGGTTTTTAGTTTCAAATGCATTTTTTTTAAAAGTTTTTTAAAAAAATTAACACGGCAATAATCATTCATAATCCAGTAAAAGATATTAATGGTAAATAAAAAAATTAACACACTAATAATGTCCAAATAAAAAAACCATCGATCACGGCGGGACTCGAACCCGCAATCTTTAGATCCGAAGTCTAACGCGGTATCCATTTCGCCACGCGACCTTCATGGTTGTCATTAATGGAATTGTTGACGTATATAAATGACAAATAGTTTTTTCTACAATTCGATTTTATCATTGTTGTTTTGTATTTTTGGGGGGAAATTTTTCAAAATATCAAAATACAAAAATAATTGCCAAAATGCCTGTTCCTTTCAAAAATTTGAATTGAGATTTAAACTATCTTCTCCTAAAAATATATCATGGATATAATTTTAACTAACAATGCTCATTTCTTTTTTCCTTACAAATTAAAAAAAAAAAGGAAAAAAAAAGTTTTTATTGATTTTGAGAGTACTTATTATTTATGAGGCATTTTCTATTTTTAAAAAATTATTTTATCCCTATGCGGGGAGGAATTGTGGAGTATATAAACGAATTCTTAGAGTACATAAACGCAGCAAAAGTCGGTGCTTTATCTCTTAGTTAGTTATCGTCTATTCCATTCTATGAATAATATATTGCGTAGCCATCATCAGCGAGTGCAATTCGAGGCTTTTGACCTATTAATTCATGAATTTGATCGCTAAGCGCTTCACGAAATTGTCTCTCCCCTTCTAATATATCGGACTCTAGATAAGAGTACTGCTTCATACTACGATTGGTGATATAATGACCCTTTCCCGTTCTAAACGAAAGCAAAACCCATTTAACGAAGATGGTGCTTTCGATTTCTCGGCAACCCTCCGACTTCAGAAAATACTTAAAAGCATTAATTCCAACATTAGAAATTGCCCATTCCAGATTCTGACATTTTGTTTGAAAAACAATTTTGGCATTTAATTTGACAACTTCGTTCTGCAAATTTGAAATCGATTGGTCAAGAGCAGTCATGTTTACCGCGATCAATGTTTTTATCGACTCCACAGACTTTCCTATTGAAGAAGACCCGATTGACAACGACTTTAAGGTCTCCACGGTTTCGTTGCTCATTTTAAGCGAAGTGGACTGAACATGAGAGCAGGCAGCTTTGACAAGCTCTTCAGCAGCGCTAGCCAGTTTCGACGAATCTTTTGGAGCAGTGACAGAGGTCATTTTCGTTAGGGAAAAAAAATGAAGAGGAAAAAAAGAAGTTTTACATTGTCTTCATCCCTGCCGAAAACCCCAGATTAAAAAAAAAAGAAATTTCCAAAAATGGTAACCGTCAGTGCTTCAAAAAAAAAACTACAACCGCAATCACCCTCCCTCACAATGTAAAAGAATTTCTAAAAATTTCTAAAAAAACCGAAAATAAAATAAAATTGCGTAAAGATATGCAACAAAAATGTAATTTTCAGCTGTGTATTGTTACATAAAATGTTCTCTCTTTCTTAAATCAATACATCGATTGAAAAAGAAATTATCACTCCTTTAAAAAAAAACCGGCAAGCTCCATTTATTTTTTTTAGTGAATTAAAGAAAAAAAAAAAAATAAAAAATCAAATTTTCAGTGTAGTCTTGAAATTCAAGAAAGAGAGGGAGAAAACAACGAAGAAAGAGATAAACAAATAGATAAATATAAACGTTTTTACTTTATTAAATGAGTC